GGCGCCCTGCCAAACACCCACACTCCCTACTCCAACCTCCTGACCCCACCCCCCCCAGCCCTTATCAGCTTCCTCTGGCGACCTTGCACTTAATTAACTCCTTCTATGAACGTCGATCAAGGGCCCCCCACAGGCTGGACATTGTACTGGGGCTTCAGGTACAGACCTGGGTCCTTGCCCTGAAGGATGTAATAGTCTCGGGGGTGGTGGGGAATCCAATAAGTAGATCATAAACATAGCTGACATTTGTTGAGCACTTACTATTTGCCAACTGCTGCCCCAAAACGTTTGTACAGATAGAGACTCTCAATTGCTACAACCCCCCGAGTTAGATACCACCGTTAGCACCCCACACTGACAGAGGTGGAAACAGAAGCACAGGGAGGTCAAGCAGCGTGCGCAGGGTCATACGGCTAACAGGGATGGAGCAGCACTTGAACCCCGACCCCACATGTGCATTAGCCAGTTTTCTCTCTGGCCTGCAATTGACTGTGAAACTAACGCTGTAAAACACGCAGCCCAGGGGAGGCCCCGGAGGTTGGAGCATGCCATGCCCCTCCTGCCCCTGGACCTTGGCACGTGCTCGTCCCTCTGCCTGAAAGACCCTTTCTCTCCTTTTCACCCGGTCAACTCCTGTCCACTCTGCGGACCCTAACATTTGGAAAGAGACCCTTCCCAGGGGACACCTTCCCTGCTCTCCCCAGACCATCGGGATCCATTTACAAACTCTCGGGGCCTGAAGTACCTGTTCCCCCAGGGTGCCTGTCATATCTAATTACACATTAGCTGCTTCTTTATGCTTTCCCCACTCCCCCTTCCCTGCTGTCGTTAGACCCGGAATGCTGCAAGACAGACACACGCCCCAGTGCTGCTTAGTGCCTGATACCATGCCTGCACCTAGTGGGTGCTCAGTACGTCTCAGGTGACTTTACTGACTGATTGACTTGCCCCAAGGGAGCCCCGAGGTCTCCACCGGCTCTAGAGCCCCACGTCTGCTGCTAATATGCAGCACTTGGCAAATAGTAAATGCTCAATACATGTCAGCGATGTTAATTATCTACGTATTTTATTCACCCCCCACCCCTTCACTAGAGTATTATGTCCTTAAGAGTTTTATTTTGTTTCTTTTTTTTTTTCTTTTTCTTAAGAGTTTTAAAGTCTTGTTGTTTTCTCCATCTCTCCCTGGTGGTCTCCTGGCCTCCTCAAGGACTCCTGGCCCACACAGCCTCTCTTCTTGACGTCCCCAACCAGCCCGAGTCCCCTGAGGAATCAGGGGACGTGGTTTTCCAGCTCAGATTCTGCTCCTGCAGGATTTGAGGCCGAGGGGAAGTAAGGAGCCTGTGACCTTCTGGGTGCCCCCTGGTTTCCCAGGAACCAACCCACAAGTCGGGGAATGGGCAGGGGCTGAGAGGAGGGGTCCAGAACCCAGACATCCTGTCTCGATGGTCAGAGATGATCTTTAAAGCCCACAAGAGCTGGAGCCGTGGAGGCGGCTGGACCACCCCCACCCCAAGCGTGTGGTCTGGAGTCGGGAGCCGGCTAGATCAATATCGTTAGGGAGGCTTGCAGCTACAAGTCCTTTCTGCTGCCAAGTCCCCCCAGAGGCCTGAGGAAATGGTAGGGAGGGGACGAGAGGCACAAGAAGAGGCATGAGGAATGGGGGTGCACATTGCTGAAGGCCCCAGAGCCCAGGAGTGCACGGCGGTCCCTCTGCACACACTGCCTCTGGGGTCGGAGCTCTCCCATTTTAAGGACAAGGAAACTAGGGCCCTCAGGAAGGAGAAAGCTCTCCTGAGGCCCTAGCAAAGCCAGAGCCAGAGCCAGCCACGCCTGGGGTGGGGGGGAGGCCAGGGGTCCCAAGGCAGGTCACACCTGATGAGGCTCCTCTCTGGGCCCATGGCCTGGCCTCGTCCGGCTCCGGCTGGAAGAGGGGCCCTTCCGAGGCTGTGCCTGCGGCCACAGGATGGAGATAGTCCTCACTGCAGCACCCGCAGGGGCTCACTGGTCCCAGAGCTCACCTTCCAGGAGCTGCTCTCTGCTCTGGGCTCCCCAGGGTGCTCACCGATGACGGTGCGGAGCCCAGGGCTGTGAGCTCCACGGGAGGCCACAGGACCCGGCTCAGCCAGCACCTCAGCCTCCCCACGCCTCTGCGGCTCCAAGCTGAGCTGCCCCAGACATGGGGCTCCCGACTCCCACTGCCCACGTCCTGCGTCCACTGTGCGCCGGGGCCCAGACCTGCAGGACACAGGGGGCGCTCTCCGTTTCCTCTGACTGTGCCGCTCTGCTGGTCAGTAGAGCCAGGGCTCCGCTGGCCGTGGGAGCAGCCCTGCCCCACTGCTGGCTCCGCACCCCGGGGGACTCAGTCTCCCCGCCAGAACGTGGGTGGCAGGCAGGTAGCAGGGCTACACGGCGACACAGCGCAGCCCAACGGGCTAGGGCCGTGTGCCCGCGCGCAGGTGCATCTGGTCCCACACCTGCTGTCCATTGTTTAGAAGCGGCCGTATCCTTTCCAAACTCGGAATTGCTTAGAAACTGCCGAGACGACCGATTAGTCATCTTCGCCCGTGAATGAGGAAAATCCAAGCCTTTGGCAGAATTTAATGCCCACGAGGAGACAGAGCCGCCAGAGCTGGATCTCCCAGGCCCGACCCTTCCGCCCACATGTAGAGGGCCTGGGCCTGGCTCCCGAGAGAGCTCACTGGCTCTCTCCTTCCCCAAGGAGCTCTGCCTCCGGCCGGTTGGGGCCCACACCCCCCTAGATGCAGGAGGAGGGACATTTGGCTCAGCTTCTGAGGGGAGGGGGGCACCAGGGACACCCCAAGCCCATCCAGAGGGGACTTCCTCCTCCCCAGTGCCTACACGTCTGTTGGAGAGCACACACACCTGCCACACAGGATCCCATCTGCACAACAGTCCTCCCGGTGGTTGTGGCCACGGGCTATCCATAGAGTCCCCGGGGGAGAGGTGACTAATTCCAGACAGATTCGCTCAGAACCTCAGGGTGGGACCGGCCCAAGCTTCGGTACTTTTCAGCCAACTTTGAGGCCAAGTGAGAGACAACTCGTCTTCGGTCCCCAACCCCATCCCTCTGCCCCTTCCGCCCTCCTACCTACATCCCTGCCTCTTCCGAGGGTGGATGCTGCCCACACTCCAAACGCCTGAAACAGCTGGAGGCCCTTGTGCCAGGGTCAGGCCTGGCCCCCACCCAGCTCTCCCCAGCCCAGGGCTGCCCACTCGGGGATCCCGCCAGCAGGGGGCCTGCAAGGGGTAGCCATGGACCGCCTGGGTCCAGGGGAGGCCCAGATGAGCACGGTCACCGTCTCAATCGTCCAGGTGGTGCCCAGGCGAGCCCTGCACGGTGCATATCAGGCCCTGGGTTTGAGTCCCAGCCGGGTGACACTGGGCCAGGCTGCTTGGACACCTGTGCCCATGCGGGTGTCCTGGAGGGGTCTGTGGGCAGGTCTGGGGTGATGCCTTTCCAATAAGCTCCCGGTTGATGCTGGTGCACAAGTGCAAGGGGCCACATCAGCACAAGAAATGAAGAGAGTCTTCAGGATAAGGTGCGTCTGGAGGACTGAGGTCCCCACCCTGGAGCCCTCCTGCTGCAGCCTGTTCACCACCCCCCTCCTCCTCAGGGCACACGGGGACACAGCTGGGCCCCCACACTTGCCTCCCTCAAAGCCCGGCTGGATGAGCCCAGCCTGCAGGCCCCAGCCTGTCACTCTCATCCCCTGCCCCAGGCCCTGCCAAGGTAGCCATGTCACTCCACAGCTGGGTGGCATCAGAGAGTGCCCTCCCGCTCACACACCTGGAGCCCTGGTCCCCTCCGTGGGATGCCAGCCAGACTACCTAGCCCACTAGCTCCCTCCGTCTGCCCAATGCCATCAGTTTGGTCTCCTTTCTGCCCCTCACTCGTCAGTCTTTCCCTCACAGACAAAACCCTAAGAGCCAACGAGGAGGTGTGAGCTAAGAAAGGCATAGGTTTTTAGGGTTCACAGGCTGCTCTGCCAATCACCAGGCTTGTGGTGATTCTGAGCAATCTCCCAACGTCTTTGAAGCTCAGTTTCTTTCTCCGTAAACTGAGGACCAGAAGAGCCCTCATCCCACTGGGCACACGTGCGTGAGAAAACACACATACGTGCTCAGCTCGTCTCTGGCACTTGGCGGGATTGCTAAATGCAGCTGTCACCAGGAGGGCAAGTACCAGTTCTGCCAGTTAGAAGCTCTGGGACCGCTTACAGACTCGGTTTCCTTCTTTGTCACTTTAATGTCCTGACACCAATCTCCCGGATGTGTTAGAAAATTCAGTGGTGACAATGCCCAGCCCACGGCAGGTGTGCAGGACCTGCTGTCCCTGTGGCCCAGAAAGCCCCAGAGGCAGTTATGAGAGGCAGCTCTGCACAGACTAGTTGGTTCCGAGTTGGTCATATGACCCAGGCAGGGTCTATCCGAGCCTAAGAGCACTTGTCCCAGAATTTAATAGTTGCTTAAAATACTAAGGGAAAATGAGAAGTCTGTACAGGGGCTTCCCGTGCCAGTGGGATGCAAACTGGGAGCACCAAGCGGCCAAACGCCGGAGCAGGTGGTGGTGCCACCCGGGGGACAGAGCCTGCCTGAAAACTAGGCCAGCCCAGAACCAAGTGATGGAAACAAACTCATGATTCCAGCGTTTGAGCTGCTGGATCCAGCTGGACCTGCCTCACCTCTTGTTCACGTTGGGTGGGCCAACACAGTTCTCTTTTCTTTTCTTTTTTTTTTCTTTTCTTTTTTTTCTTCCTTAAACCAGTTTGAGTTTCTCTCCTAGCTCAAAGAGTCCAGACGAAAAACTCACGGCAATCAGAATCACGAGGCCCGGACGGTGGGGAAGCCGCTCGGAGGGTTACAGGTGAGCTGTGTGCGAGAGACGCCCCGAAGCCCACCACACACCCGGAGCCTGGGCGGCGAGGCTCGCCCGGACACTCAGCAGACCCCTTCCCAAATAACACGGCAAGATAAAGGCACAGGTTTTTCTTTCGCTTTATCATTTATAAAGCCATACAATGGGTTGCAAAGAAACAAAGCAGCTGTACAGGATGGGCCAGCGTCGGTGTACAATACATTCATATCCAGGGGAAGTAGCGCAGGTCAGGGTTTATACAAGGTGGCAGAGGTTATAGGCACGACGATACAAAATAGAAAGGATATTTCCATCTATATAAATACACAGCCAGGGGATGGGGAGGATGCCGGGTTACTCTGTTTCTCCTGCAGAGGAGGCGGGCAGGTGTGGCAAGGTATTTCTTACATTTGCTATGAACGGCTTGTCGGAGGGAGGGGAGAAAACGGGGAAACGCGGCATGCACACACAGGTGTGCTCACTCTCGCACGCAGACCAAACACGGACACAAAGGAGAGTCTCAAACCGTTTAACACTGATTAGAAACCAAACCGGGGACACCCGTCCGCAATCCCCTCGCTGCTGGCAAGGGCCCAGGTGTGGGACACACGCGGAAGTCCTCCAACGGCTTGGACCCCCGAGGACGGAGAAGTCAGGAAGGGGCAGATATGCCCGAGCCCCAGCCCCCCAGCCGGCGGAGCCAGTCCTCACCATCCACAATACCGAGATTCCGCCAGTCGGGGGCCCTCCTGAATTCTTTCACTGCTGGGTGGTGTTGAACTGGACATCCCACCGCCCACCTACTACCTTTGACCCTAACCCCACGTTTCCCAAAGAGATCGGCAAAATATACACACATAGACACCCGCACTCGCACGCACACGCACGCCTATGTGTACATCCTGTGTCACGCCGGCCAGGAGCTCCAGTCTCAGGGGCCTGGGGCCTGGACTTGGGTGAAGAGTGACTCTGGGACTCTGCCCCCAACCTCTCCAAGGACCCTGAGATGCAGGGGCGGGAGGCAGCCCATGGACAGGGCACTGACCGACTTGACCTCCCCAGGGCCGGTAGTTGAGAAATGCCAAAGAAGGGGGGAGGACCCGGGAGGCAGAGCAGGTGGGCAAACGTTCAGGTCATAGATGGTCCACTTCCAGAAGCCTCCACACACCCCACATGGCAGGAGGAGCCTGCCCGACCTCGGCTCGGGCCCATCAGAGTACCCTACCTCCCCATCCCGAGAGCCCCTTTGTAAAGATCACACTTGTGGGTTGGTTGCTGCCTCCTATGGCCACCAGGTCGCTCGGCCACCACCCCTTTCCTACTAGTCTCTGATACATGGGGACTCCTCAAAACCCAAGGGAGAAGGAGTCCACGAGTTCTCAGACCTACTGGGGAGAGACTCCAATGAAGATGGGAGTCAAAAGGCCCATCCCCAACCTAGGACACCATGTTCGTGGCCCTCAAACACCGGGCTAGACACGGGGACCAGGAAGCCAAGACGGCAGGGCAGGGGCAACCCAGGCTCCCCTGGAGGTTGGCCAGATGCTCCCTTCCTTCCTATTTCCCCTCTGGGGTCACCTCTCCATTGTTCCCAGGCCTGCCCTCACCTCCTGTTCCACCTGTGCCTCTCTGGGCTCTCTCCATGATACGGACAGATGTCATTTCCCTGCCCCTTCCCTCCAGACACCACACAGGCCAGCCTCCGGGAGGCCCGGGCCGGCCTCCGACGCTGGCTGGAGCGCAGGAGCCAGGGCCTGAGCCCGCCTGGCGTCTGCACCCCGCTCGGCAAGCTTCCCCTGCCCCTCCCGGTCCTCCTTGCCAACCTCCCCCAGACCCTAGTCCTGCCAGCCTGTTTTCAAGACCAGACAGCTCTCCTGGCTGACAGACAGATTCCACAGTAACAGCAAAACGGGGTGAGGGAGAGGGAGGAGAGAGAAGGCTAGACATTTACACAATAATAACAATAATGATTAAAAGTGCTTTCTCTTAAAGGAAATCTTTGGCAAGAATATACTGCAGTGCTGTGTGTGTGTGTGTGCGCGCGTGCGCGCAGGGGTGCAGAGACCTAACCTGTGAGGCGTGGGGAGCCAGTGTCCTCCCAACCAGTGTCTGACCCCAAGGTAGGGCCACTTGGAGACTGGGGTACCCTTCCCCATGATTCTTCCGGAAACCTGCTCCATCCAGAGGGATGCCAGGGAGGGAGCTGATCAGCTTCCCAGGATGCCCCCAGTCCTTCCCAGGGTCACACTGGCTCAGGCCTGAGTGGGGTGGGCCAGCCCTGACTCGGGGGTGGGGGCTGCCGGTGGGCGGTGGGAAAGCGCGTGTAAAGGCCCAGGATCTGGGGGCCCGGGGGCCGGGGGGCCGAAGGGAGAGGACGCGCAGACCAGGAGGGGCGAGTCCCGGGGCCACGTCCAGTGGGAGACTGAAGGTATTTACGGTCGGCAGGAAATATCTCCCATCTGGGAAGAGAGTCGGGGTAGGTAGGGAATGGGGGCTGGGGTAGATCTGGGGATCTGGCTTGAATGCCTCAGAAGGAAGAGCACTTTGGAGGACCCTCCATCACCGAGTAGAAGGTTGCCATCTCTAGGAAGCGGGGATCCTGCTCCCCACCCTCAGACACTCTCCTTTCCAGCTCCCTGAAACACAGCGTCCGCACAGATACAGCCTCTTGGAGGAGAAAGAAACACAAAAGACACACACATCACCCACATCCGCTACACACACCCTTGTCCCCCGCAGGCTCCCCTGCTTGCTCAGGCCTGCAGTGCAGGGTGGGGGGCGGGGGAGGCTCCCCGTATCTCTGGGAGCCGGCTGCCGTGCCCCCAGCTTGCCAGAAAATAGGGAAGCCAAGGGAACAGCACCCATGCAGCCCTCCGCACCGAGCCCCGGGCAGCGTCTAGGACGGCAGACCCTGCGCGCTCCAAGGATAAAGGCCCCCCCACATTTCAGACTTCACTTATACACAAAAAAAGGGATGGGAATTGGTTTATCCCCGGGGAGACAATAAAGCAATATAGGAAAACAATAAATACTTCTTGTCAATTTACCTATTCTTTTTTTTTAACCTTTTCTTATATTTTATTAGCTTACAGATTCTGTATGTCTCACATATATATTATATATATTTATATATCAGTACAATGCCTCTCTCTGGGGGATCCCATAGGCTTAAGAAGCCGCCCAAGACTGGAGTCCTGGTGAATTCTCCATTCCGGCTTAGAGTCCTTGGGTGGCGGCCTGGGCCTTTCCCAACTGCCCACATGGACTCTCGGCCCTCCGACCTAAACGCATGCCTTTCTCTTCCATGGGCAGCTAGGCTCCGACAGGGAAACCAAGGCAGGAGGGGGACCAGCATGGCTTTGGCATTGTAGGTAGGCCATGTGGGAGGCACAGGTAGCAGCCCCAGGAGCTCTGCTAAGGACATCCTGGGCCGCCTGGTCCATGTCAGAGCCCGAAACGCTCACACAGGGGAGCACGAGGCCTTTGGGGAGTCTCCCCCGGGGCTCACTGGGCAGGGCTTTTACAAGCAGGCTCCCCAGGGCACGCTCCAACACGGGGACCCCAAGGGACAGGGCAGGGCAGGGCAAGGCAGCAAGGCCCAATCCCCCCCACACCTGGAAGGGCACCAAGCAGATAGGCAGATGTGAGGAAAGGCTGAGCTGGGCCGCGAAACCCAGGAACGGGCAGAGGGCCGGCCGGGAGCTGGCGGGGCGACCTGCCCCTACTGCCGCAGGGCCACACGCCTGGGGAAGACCCGCAGAGCTCAAGAGCCGCCCCTCCGGAGGGATCTCTCCCCCGTGGCTATGCACACGCACATCTGCACCTCCCGACACCAAAGCTCCAGGCTCCTGGCTGAAGCAAAACGGGTGTAACTGCTGGGCAGCCAGCCCCTTCCTGCTGGGGTCTCTGTTGAGAAGCCGCTGGCAGCACCCAGGGCCTCTAGAAGCAGGTGCAGGCACCCAGAGTCTGCGACCATAATCTGGGGTTCTCCTGGGGAAGCAGGCGTGTATGTCCCCACCCTGGGCTGCCCTGTCACCCCCAAATCTCACCTTCTTTGGACAGTATGCACGTGTGTGTGCAAACACGTGGGGCGCAGACGAGCATACGCATTTACAGCTCTGGCTGAGAGGCACATGGAAACCAGTATGTGAGGATGTGGGTGTGGACACATCATACGCCCCATATATACACCCACACAGACTGTACAGCGGAGGCGGAGTCCAGAGACCTCAGGAACCTCGGGTCTCAGACTCCCAAAGGCAAAAGTTGGGCCACCCGATGTCCCACGCTGGCTCTTTTTGCTTCGCCAATCTACCCCAGAGGCGGCCAGAAAAGGATCCCCTCAATCTGATTTCTCCTTGTAAAGCAGTTGGGTTAGGGAGACAGAGCTTTTCCATTTACTCCCAAATTATAGAACCCCAAGGAGTCGGTGTGTCTCCTCTGAGGAGCTCCATCCTCTCGGAGGGGAGGGGGAGCTAGGGGGACCTGGTTAGCAGTGGAGGCTTTGGGGGCCCCACGGTATCCGTCTACCCAGGGGAATCCAAGTTATTCTCCTCCGTCTTCTTCCTTCTTTCTCTCTCTCTCTCTCCCCCCTTCCCCTCCGCAATTCACTTCCCCCTCCTCACGTTGCACTTTCTTCTCTCCTTCTCCAAAATTGGCCCAAAGTCCTCCTTCTGGATTCAAGGGTGGTCAGGATTCACGGGTCCCCTCCCCACGCGCCCCAGCCCCACTGCCCTGGCCCCGGGCGAGGGGTGGCGTTCATCTCTTCTGGCCGGCACTCAGCATGACCTTGGAGACGAAGTTGACGATGGCAGAGGCGGGCTGGTTGGGGTCAAGCTCAGCGAAGAGGTGGCAGGCGTTGTCCGTGGTGCTGCCCTGCTTCCGGGCCACGAAGCCGAAGAGTCTGCCGGGTGGGCAGGAGAGGGGAGATGGGCGTGAGGCAAGGTGGGGAGGGGGGCCCAGGCCTGGAGAGCTGCTGCCCAGGGGAGTGAGCTCCTCCTCCAAGCCTGTCCCCAGCCTCCCACCTCTCCCTGCAGGCACAGGAGGGAATCCTGTCTCTTCCACCCCCAGAGAGCCAGGTCCTGGAGATGACAGTGACACTGGTCCTGGGGTAGGCAGCCATTCCCCTTTGAGGAGCGGGGGCAGGAGGAGTCGGAGGCATATGATGAGACTGGACAGTAAGAGGTGGGGAGGAGACCAAAAATAAAATGGGGACATTCCTAGGCGGGCTTCTCCGTCCTTCCCAGCCCCACCCCTCCCCGACTATTCTGGCACACGACACTAAAACTGTCTGCCTGTCAAAGCGCGTGGCCTCCTCAGAGAGGGCCAGGGAGACAAAAGGACAAGGGGTCACCACCCCCCTCACACTCACTTCTCCTGGGCTCCAGAGAATGGGAGGGGACGGGCGACCCCACACCTGTTCCTCCCCACCCCCACTCCCAGCACCAGGCTGCAGTGACCTGGCATTCTCTGTGCAAAACAGAGTTAAAAATATGAGCAGAGAACAGAATGTGAGCCCAGGTCCCCTCCCAGTCGGCCCATTGCTAATTAGAGCGAGATGGGGAAATCGGGACAGCTGGAGATGCCGATGGAAACCCCTCTCCCCAGGACTGGACCACAACAGCTAAAATTAGCAGCGTTGGGTCCTGCTTGCCACCAGCCGCACGCACATGTTTACACACACGTATACACGCGCACACACGTACGCACAAGGCCTCCTACAGCTTTGCTCTCGCCAGTGTGGTTTCAGAGGCCGGGAACGGCTAGGGCCAAAGGTCTGGGGGTAATGGCCTGCCCAAGTGAAGGGGATGGATGCCTGGGTCCATGGACCAATCCCCAGGACCTCCCCTCCCTTCCAGGCTCGCTCAGGCTCCTCTGTGCAGTGGAGGCCAATGAGGGAGGAGGGCGGAGTGGCTCCGAGAGGGGCCCACAGCGAGCCAGCTCTGGCTGCCTGGTTCTGCCAAGGTGGAGAGCCAGCCAACCTCACCAGCCTAAACATGGCCCGCCTGCCCTCACTGCTGTTTATTTCAGCTTCCTGGCTCCCAGGGCCGGTTCAACAACTGCCAAGTCCTTTCTCGGCTGGGGGCGTGGCGGGGAGGTGGGGGGGGAATGGATCCAGGCAAGAGACCTTAGCCCCAGGGCAGGGAGGAGCATTTGCAAGAATCCGAGAACAAGTGCCTCCTTAAATCTGGGGCCCCAGGCTCTTCACATGCCTCTTCCCAGTCCCTGCCTGAGCCAGGCCCTCCTGGGCCTCTGCCCTGAGATCAAGGCCCCAAGGCCTGTGTCAGCAGGAAGCTCAGCACACAACCAGCTCCAGAATGAGGAGAATGATTTCCAGGCCTGGGACTAGCCCGCCTCTGTCCCTGACCCATCTCCCCATCGTGGGACCCAGGGGTGAGTGAGCACGAGTCCTTCCTCAAACACAAAGCTCTGGCCTGCCTGGCTGGGTCAGGGACTCAGAGACGCTATTGACCCTGGGAACTCAAAGCAGGCCCAGGTAGGTGGAGGCATGCTTCGAGATGGCTGGACACCTAGCTCCTCCTTTCAGCTGGGCTGCTGGTTCTTTATGTGACCTTGGGCAAGGTGAGGTCCCCTCTATCCCACACAGCCCCTCTGGATGGTGCCAACTGTCTACAGCTGAACAATATCCTTTTCTGACCAGGGTGACTTCCCTATGCCTCCCCGCTGTGTCCTGCCTGCCTCCTTCCTCAAATTTTTTCATTTGACAAATACTTATCACCCCTCCCATGCAACACAGTCCTGCCCTCAGGGAGCCTCCGGTTGGGTGGCCATGCCTGCCCAGCCCCTTGAAATTGCCTCCTATCCCCACACCTACTTCTGTCCAAAGTGTACTGTCTTTTAAGACCCATTTTTAAAATAATAGTTTTTTTCCCAAACCTCCCCAAATCGCTCCCGGCCTAGATGTGCTCTCCTTTGTTACACCAACACACAGCCGTGCTTTGTACCTTCTGGGGTGTGTCTCAAACAGGAGATTTAATGTTTTTTTAACAGTGAAGGTTTGCCTTTTCTAAAGCAATCTTACATGAAGTCCAAATACATAAAGGTGACAGCAGGATTTGTGGCCACACGTGTATCTACTCAACCTCAAGACATTTACCTATTATAGTCAATCAGTGAGAAAAAAATGGGCCTGTTTGGATGACTCAGATAAAGTAAACTGTGGACTCACAGGCCATAATGCCAGTCTCACGTCAGCGGCGGTACTCGGGTTATTCCTACACTTGGCTTCGGTTTCATGACACTGAGAAAACCCTGATTCCTACCGGTAAATAACTGCCAATCGTGACAGTTTTCCTTCCTTCCTAAGGCCTGAGCTGTAACCTGAGGATCCTCGGGTTCCTTGGCACATGGTTTGAAAACCACTGTACAAGTTAGTGGGTTGATACACTTGTATCGGCTGCACCAATGTTAAGCCTCCCGAGGGCAGAGTCAGCCCCCTGGTCCGTCTGAATCATCCTGGGGCTGCGTTCCCTGCAGGCACTTGGGAAATGCTGGAGGGGTTTCCGAAGACTCAGCTAAAAGTCCCTGGTCTATCCCCGAAATCTGGACCTTCTGGGCTCCCGAGCTATGATGAGGAGGTGGAGCCCAGCCACGGGATTCACAGCTCACCAAGCGTGAGACTAGCAATGAAGGAAGCCAGGATTGGGGCAGAGAGACCATTCAAACAGCCCCCTGCCCCGTGGCCACTGCCTCCAATATAACTGCCAGCTTTCTGCCCACTTCTCAGGTCCCTGCTGGTCTGGTCCCGGGAGAGGCAAAGCAACAAGACTGGAAGCTGAGCCTCCAGCCTCGAGGGAGGAAAATGCAGAAGACCCGGCTGCCTGGCCAAGCTCTCTCCAATGCTGACTGACACCAGCACAAAGGCCTTTGCTGCCCTTTGCCTACCCCCGGTCCCTGGTTCTAAGCCTCCCCAAGATGCAGCCAGCTGGGGCGGAGGGAGAAGACACACTTACTTAGCAGGGACACCTCCCTCTGTCTTCATCCACCTGTGGAGAGAAAGATGCCACAGCGTAAATCACTACAATTTCTTCCCCCCAGGACTCAGCCCTGTGCATGCCCAGGCCTCCTGCAGGAGGGCAAGGGAGACCCCGTTCCAGCGGGACGGGAGCTGCCAAAGATCATGCAGGGGAGGCTTCAACGGACACCATGGCCTGTCTCCCAAGGAGCTCTCCCCGGTGTGAAGAGAAGCAGATTCAAGGTCAAGGATATGGCAAAGGACATGGAAGCAAGCATTCCAGTCCCTGGGAGGGGCTCTAAATTTGTGGTGGGAAAAACTCAAAAAGCTACCCAACACAATTACTCATGGTCTCACAGACACATGCAGACCAAGGATATACGCCCGCGCGTGTACACACACACACACACACACAGGCCTTAGAATTACAGAAATAGGCGGGAGAGAAGGTGTCTGCAAGAGACTTACTTTCTCTCCTGAGGATCCAGGTCACAGAAGGTGACAGTGTTGAGGGGGTAGTGTCGTCTGAAGAAGAGCCTGTGGCACAGATATCAGATGAACAGAGAATGAGCACCGAAGTGGCCACTCTTTCCCACCTTCCCTTTGCAGGTCAGGCCACCATGTGTGGCTGTCACCGGCTGACCCAGCCTTCCCCTTAGAAGCAAGACAGCCTGGGCTGCTCATATAAGCAATGCATGGGGAGAGATAAATGTGTCATTGAAACACGTCCCAAATGTTAGTAACTAGGAAAAGAAAGAACAAATTGGTATTGAAGAATGAGAAAATGAGCAAACCTTGGGGGAGGAAGGAAAGAAGCAGGAGGGAGAGCCTGAGAGGAAAGGCTCTGCTCCAGAAAGCAAGCACTTTTATGCATTTATGGCTGTGTGCTCAATGCAGGCACATTTGTAGAAGGAAAGATGGATGGATGAACAGATAAATGGATGAATAGAGATATAAATGGGTGATGGGATAAATGGGTGGAGAGGATAAATGGAGCATGAATGGATGCAGGAATGAGTGGATCAACTGGTGAGTGGATGAGCAAGTGGATGGATGGGTAGTCAGATAGAAGGATGGATGAGTGGATGGAAGAGTGGATAGGTAGATGGATGAGTGGGCAGGTGGATAGATGGATGCATGTGTGGGTAGGCAGATGGCTAAGTGGGTAGATAGATGAATACAGGGAATGAATGGTAAGTGGGTGGGTAAGTAGATAGACGGGTCACAGGGAAAGAGAGTCCAATATGGAAGCAAGTAGAAGAGCCTTACTTTCTCTGGTTGTCAGTCAGTGTAATTCCCTGGGCAGAAACTTTGAAGTGAACGATGGTGGCAGCTGGTGTGGGGTCAGCAGCCAGTGTCTCAGAAGCAGCTTTGGAGATGGCCTGCGGCCCAGTGAGTGACTCCATGTCCACAGAGTTGACGAAGAGCACGTTGCAGGCTGGAATAAACCCACCCAAAGAGGAGTTATGGGGGCTGGAGTAGATGGGGATAACACCTCAAGTCAGCTCTTTGGGGGAAGGAATTTATGAATTTTAGGCCAGCCTCAGGCCAGGCATCTGCACAGAGAAATGTAGACTGCCCAGAGATATTTGGGTCTGTAGGAAGGGGTAGGACAGGCAAGAGGAAAGGCCTGGGTGGGGATCCAGTCTGGGGTGGCCACTCACCTGCCCCTTGCTTCAGCAGATCAGTGGTTGAGTTGGCAGGGCCCGAGCTATCTTTCGATTCATCTGTGGGGTCTGAGACAAAAATTTAATTCAGCTGGTAATTAAAACTCTAGAGCTGGAAAGTAGCACAAGTTTGGCTGGGCCTCAGGCAAGCCCTGCAAATACTTTGTGCAATGGATACTGCTTTTCATAACAGGCCCTGGCAGTTGGGACGTGTGTGTCCAGTCTGAACATTCCAATGATTACTGTAAATATTCAGCACACGGGTTGAGAGCTCTGGAATCCAACAACGTGGGGTTCAGACCCTCGCCCCAGCATTTGCCAAGTAGCTATAAAATGGAGATGTAATAGTACCCATTTTGTTGGGTTTTTGAGACGTTCCAAGTACAGTGTGAGCCCAGTGCCTGGCATAAACCAGGACTTCAAGTGGCAATGGATGTCGCTGTTATCGTTTTGCATTGATGTGTCTTTTAGATCGATGAATGCCCTAATTCATCAAGCCATTAACGCAGCACAAGTATAATTTCAATATTAACAAGAACGGGGTATTTTTGCACCGGTGTTTCCCAGACTTTGGTGTGCAGGCTTATTAAAACACAGATCCCTGGGCCCCACCCCAGAGTTTCTCATTAGATGGGGCTTGGGAGTATTTGCGTTTTTAACAAGGGAAGTATTTGTATTTTAATTCCTGGGAAGGGGTGCCAGTGCTGCAGGTCTGGGAACCATACTTTGAGAAGCACCATTTTAAACGATGTAAAGATCAAAGTTTTATAATTGCTAAACTACTTGCCTAAGTTTCATAGAACTATAGTTGGTGTTCAAATTGTGGGGTTAATAACACTACTTAAGGTGTACTTGAACTTCTAAATTAATAATGTTGGTTAATTATCATAATAATTCAATGAATTGAGTTGGATATGTAGAAATTGTGAAATACTATTATACTATTGGGGGTTTTGTGTGTGGGCATAACCCCAGGAGCTCCGAGAGAAACTGGAAGGAAGTCCCAGAGACACTTCTGAACCTCCTATTTTTAAACAAAGAGGATGGGGAGAAGGTAGCGAGTTTCCAATTCCTAGACCTCGATAGGGCCGAGCATAATTCCCCTTGCATGGGCCCCTGTACGTGGGGCTGGGTGACCCGAAGCCTGCACTGTGAGGAGTCTTAGATGTCCATTTGCCATCCTCCAAAGCTGGAAGGCTTCTCTGAGAGACACTAAAGTCTCCTTGCGAGGCATGGTGTCCCACTCAAATTCTCACCTCTAGGTCCTGAGGCTCTTGGGTTCCATTAATACTTCCCACCAGCTCTATATCCCCTCCGTCAGAGAACACCCTCACAGCCAAGCAGACTGTGGGGACTCCAGGAACATCTTGGCCCCCATCTTGGCCCACGCCATGTAGAGCCCAGCCACCTCTTCCTCAGAGTGTGCTCCGTCCTCTTTATCACACCAACCTCCAACACCTGGGCAACATCCCCATGACCTAAATCTGCCTTCCGCACCCCCTCCCCTGAACCCCGCCCACCAACGCCCATCTCATCCTCCAGACATGGTCCTCCCCGTGACCGTCTCTTACTTCTCGTGCCTCCTCTGGGCGTATTCTGAAGATTCAGGAAAAGAATTCCTAAAAACCACCAGAGAATTTTCCAGAACAATCTGGTAAGTCAATTATGTGTATTCCTGGAGTTAAGTCTTTTAAATAACTTTTCCTTCTTTTTTAAGGGGCGGGAGGTGATGCAGGGTGGGAGGGAGGAGAATAGTTTTGAATTTCCCTGGGTTGGCAAAATGACACATGTCCTCCAACCCTGGCGCACGTTCTGGAGCAGCTGGCACAGTGGACTCTCACAAGGAGGAGGCCAGCTCAAAGACGCACTTGGAGAGCAAGGAGTCTCACGTTCCTACCTCGGTTTGGAATGACCAGCTTACAGGGCAGAGCCAGTGGGATGATGGAATGCTGGTAGACCAGGGCAGAGAGAGACCCTGTAAGAGGAGACAGCACGTCAGGGGCAGTGTCACAGGGAGCAGCCAGGGTGATGCGGAGCCCAGACACCCCACCCCGCTATCCGTAATCTCCAGCTTCTTTATCACCTCTCCCTCATCCCACCAGTAAAGTCGAAAATCCACCCCCTTTGTCAGCAAGATCTAAGGGAGAAGCTTCCAGAGGCTCACTCCAGCAGCCACGAGGTTTCCCTTCTAGACAACCCCTCAGTTCTTCTGGCTGCTGGGGCCGCTCTCAGGACCGCACAGCAGAAGTATCAGAGAATCCCGGGATCAAATCCCGGCTCAGTCACCTGTTAGCTCCGTGTTCCATGGGTAAGTCTACCTTCTGTGAGCCTCACGTGTAAAATGGGACCATAACACCCACCAAGCAGGATTGTTATGAGACCAGAAGTAATATTAGGTTCCCGAAGAGTGACTTTCACACAGGAGGGGTCATCGATAAAGGCGGTTGTTAACGGTGGTTGTGCCAACGCTAACAATAACGCATTCCCATGGGGTGGGACGAATTTGGCAGCGTCAAGCAGGCACAGTACACAGGACAGGAGGCCACTGTTCACTGATCTATGACAAGGGGGACCAGGGCCAGCCCGAGACTCAGCAGGCAGGCTGTGGAGCCGAAGGCGGGGGACAGCTCACCAAAGTTTGGCTCATTGGGGCACCCCTTGAGCTTGACTCCTCTGGGGCCGGTCTCTATCAGGAAATGTCTCACCAGCTCATGGGTCATGTCCCCTGGGATGAAGAGAAAGACATGAGGCTTGAGCACTTCTCCTGGCGCCCTCCCACCCCTGCCAACAGCGCTTTACCCCTTCCCCGTGTGGGGTTCTGTGATGGGAGCAACGGCCAGAACCCCAGAATGCAGAGACCACTACTCAAGCAAACACAACCACAGAGTCCCGACAATTCTGCTTCCTCGTGCTCTGGCCCCAACCACCACCAGGCCCAGGACTCGTTTGCCTGAAGAGTCTGACTCGGCAGGGACCAGCTCCCCTGCTGGTCACTGGGTCCTTGAGCACCTCAGGCTCCGAGGAGGCTGGACAGACCACCTGGTCCTGCACCCTGCTCGAGGTGAGGGTGCTACCTTTCTTATTCTGCTGCATGATGGTCGGAGGCGGAGAAGACACCTTCATGGCCAGCCCGTAGGCCCCTCGGAAGGAGTGGCTGTCGCGGATGATGAAGGCCCCTGGCTCCTGGTCCTTGAGGAGTGCGATGGCTGGGATGGGAAGGGGATGAGGAGAGAGGAAGAGAGAAGACACTGATGGCCATGGCCTTACTTAAGACTCCTCAGGCCTATGGAATCTCGTTCTTGAGTTTGAATGTAAGGGTCCTCCGACGCTACAGTAGGCAAGCGTCTTCTGTAAATAGCCAGGTAGTAAACACTTCAGGCCTCGCAGGCCATGCAGCCTCTACTGCAAGTTCTGGACTCTGCTACGGCAGCACAAAAGCAGCCACACGTGACACGTAAGCGAATGGACACGGCGCGCTGCACGAAAACGGTAGCTACAAAAACGGGCAGCGGTGCAGATTCGACCCCACGGCCAGCGCCTGTCTTCCATCCACACAGACCTTCCTTGGGAGCCTGAGGTGGGCCTTGTCTCAAGCCCCACCATGCTGACTTTGTTTTTTTCTGTAAAATGTGCAAAAATCTCCCACCTCACGTAGCTAGAGAGCTAAGATTTGCTATTACCTCGGCTGGCGTTTTACTCCGCTTGGAAAGTCCAGACTGTGCTGCTGTTAAGGACCCTACCTAGGTCTGCAAACCCTGCTTCTGCTCCCCCACACTTCACCATGGGGAGGTGCCTCTCACGGCCTGACCTCGAGCCCAGCCCCTCCCTGTGACCACCACGTACTGCAAGAAGGAGGGAGTCTGCCTGTGTTCCTTGCCCGAGGCCGACGTGGCCTGCGGCAGCCAGCCGTGACCTCTGATGGGCCACGGGACCCTCGGTGCCAACCAGGACTCACCCTGCTCTCTGGAGATCTCAGGCTTGTACCAATACTTGGAAGTGTCCTGGACAAACTTCACTTTGGCCCGCGTCTCGGGGCTGTTGTCTGAGAGAGATGCAGAGAGAGAAACAGTGTGATGGGTTGAAATGCATCCCCCGCCCCCCAACAAAAAGGTATGTCGAAGCCCTAAGCCCAGGGGCCTGTGAGCGTGTCCTTATTCGGAAATAGGGTCTCTGCAGATATAATTAAGGTACGATGAGCTCATGCTGGATTAGAGTGGGCTCCAATCCAAGATGACGGACGTCCTTATCAGAAGAGGGGAAGAGACAGAGAGACACACAAGAGAGCCATGAAGACGGAGGCAGAGACGGAGGGACACATCTACAAGCCAAGGGATCCCATTCTGGGGGGATCCCTTGCTGGATTGCCAGCAAACCACAAGAAGCTAAGAAGAAGGCCTTGAATAGAGTCTCCCTCGAGCTTCCAGAAGGAACCAACCCTGCCAGAACCTTGACTTTGGACTTCTAGCCTCCAGCCCGTGAAGGATTAAATTCTGTTGTCTTAAGCCACCAAGGGTGTGGTACTTTTTAAGGCAGGCACAGAAACTAGCACAGAAAGGCAGGGTCTTCAGGCACGATCAGAGGACTGCCGGCGGGGACCCTGAGTGGCCTGCCCACCCTTCCCATCTCCTGCCAGCTGCCGTGCATCACAGAGCTGCTCTCCTGTCGAAGAGCCTGGCACAGCATTTTCGTGGAGCCGAGGAAAGCCCTTCCTGCACCCCATCTTGCTCCTTTCTCCAGAAGATTTGGACTAAACCCTTCCTGCAGCTTCTCTCCCACAGGCTCAGGCACCACACCTTCCGGGCCTCTTTCTCCACAAGATGAATTTCCCAACTTTGTCAGAACAACCTCAAAGTTGAGGGAAGAAAGATGCATGTCCATCGCTTCTCCCCAAGCACCCGCCCTCCGCGTCCTCTTTGGAGAGCCCGTGGTCTGTGTCACACACAAAAAAAAAAAGAAAAAAAAGAAAAAAAAATCAGCCCTGCCCTGGAACAGAGGAGGAGGTGGCCTAGAGGCTCTCTACTAGGGGTCACATACCCCACTTCCCTGGCAAATGACCCTCACCCAGACCCTCTGCTGACCAGAGATGCTTCCTACACATTCTGGAAGATGCTCAGAGAGCATCCAGTCCAATCACTTAACTTTACAAATGAGGGAAGGTAGGCTCGGAGAGGGAGAAGGACCTGCCCAAATCACACAGGTGGTCCTCAGAAAGGCTCCTCTAAGACCTTCCCAGGTAAGAAAACGCAGCCGCCAATTCCATGCCAGCTACACCTTGTCTTCCGTGTCTGGGTATTAGGAGTGTGGCCCTCGCTCTCCAAGCTCTTCCTTCATCTCCTGGGACCAAAGAAACAAAATGGGGGTGGAGGACAGAGGGAGAAAGGAAGATCCCAATTCCACATGTTCCTTTCCCGTCCTTTCTTCAGAGAGAAGCTGGGACCGTGGGAGTCTGTGCTCACGATGCTATGAAGGTGGCGGCGCAGACCTGAGACCCGAGTTAGAGTGTGCGCCCAGCAACTTCCACTTGTCAGTAACGCTGCGCTCGGCCCCTGGGATGGGCCACTGGGGGGACGGCACGGGGACAGGCCGGCTCCCTTTCCTGGCAGCTGTGCGCGGAGGGGGGCCTCTGGGCTGGGCAGCTGGGCCGCAAGCGCCGCAAGCTGCCTCTGGCCCAGCTCGGGAGCCCTGGCCCCTCTGCTGCTGGGGCCTAATGAGCTGTCAGCGGCGGCTGCAGCCCCGTGTGCCTTCCTGTGTTGACTCCAGTGCTATTTTAAGCAGGGAAGATGGTGGGAAACAGGAAATGTCCCAACTACTAGAAGTTTTCCATCCTCCAAAAGAGGGGCTGGGAACCAGATGTCTCTGGTGGGCAGCAGGAAGCAGGGGCACACGGGGTCGCTGTAGGTGCCCCTGGCCGGCCGGCTCAGGGCAGGACCCCAGAGCATCACACGGAGAATCTAGGCAGCGGGAGGCCCACCCCAGGCTGCCCGAAACATTCTAACCCTTCCTCGAATGCCCCAGAGCTCCGGAGCCACTGGGCAACAGTCACGTTCCAGGTCTGGCTGAGAGGCTGCAAATCAGCTGAGGCCTTGACCTTTGTGTTTAGAGAAGGAGCCCTCTGCACGGAGGGGGGATGTGCCCCGTTATGGGGGTTGAGTGAAGAATTCAGTGTGTGAACGTGCATGGGCTTCAGGGAAGGAACGAGACTCCAGTGAACATGCCCCCCACCCTGCACACACCCCTGGCCTCGGCCCATGGCATGTCGGGCTGCTGGATCTGTTATCAGAGATGCGTGCATGTGGTGGGATCAAGAGGTGGGACAGAGGGCTGTGGGCAGCCGACAGGTCTGGAGTCCAGGTTTGGAAGGCAGATTTTCAAGGTGATCCTAAATCGCAAGTATGGAAACATGACAAGGTAACTCCCATAACGCTTGACGAGCACAAATTTTAGGGTATAAGGGCCTAGATGGGAAGCCATTTGTTAAGTATGTGACCCTGGACAGATGACTGAGTCTCTCTAAGCCTCGGTTTGCTCCTGCATAATTTAGGGGTAATGAGGGGGCGCCTGGGTGGCTCAGCCCATTAAACATCTGCCTTCGGCTCAGGTCATGACCTCAGGGTCCTGGGATAGAACCCCACGTCGGGCTCCCCGCTCAGCTGGGAGCTTGCTCCCCCCGCCCCCCCGCTGCCGGCCCTCTGCCTGCTGCTCCCCTCTGCTCATGCACACTCAGGTGCATGCTCTCTCTCTCTCCAATAAAAAATTTTTAAAAATCCTTAAAAAGGTCAACTAAAACAAGATAAAATGGGGGTGATAATGCCTACTGTGCCAGGCAGCCTGTGTGTGGCTCAGAGCCTGGCACACAGCACGTGCTCAACAAGCGGCATAAGCTATGCCGGTGGTGGTGATCGTGGCTAACAGCAGTGTCACCGCTGTATTTTCCTCCTCCCCCTCCTCGTGGTCCTCATGGTGCCCCCTGCCCCATCACTGCCCCCGCCCCCAGCACACTTCCTCTGAGGACACCTCCAGCTCCTGCTACACAGACAAGGAAGCGGAGGAGGCCGGGAGGTCAGCGATCTGCTCAAGGTTCTCTGGCAAAGGGCTGTGGGCCCCGGGGGGGACAGAGCCTAGGGTGGCGCAGGGGGCCGGGAGGCGGGGCTCACCCGGCAGGGAGTACTTGGAGAAGTCGGGCAGAGTGTGGGAGAAGGACACCGTGCTGCCCCCGCTGGGACTGGACATGCCGCTGGCCACGGGCGAGGAGGACACCTTCCCGTTGACGGTGGCGTAGTTGGGGAGGCTGCCCGCGCGGTCTCCCACCGACATCCTCCGCTTCTCGGGCAGCGCCGGCGTCGGGCTCCCTTGCCGGAAGGCCGCCGAGTCCGGCGACGGGGAGGTGGCGGGGCTGCTCAGGCCCGGGTAGTAGGCAGGGGACACGGGGAAGGAGGGCGTGGACGGAGCCTGGTAGCCGGAGGCACTGCTCTGCCGGGACAGCGCGGGTCTTGGGTCCTCGGGGGTGGAATAGCCGCCGTAGGCTGCGTGCCGCTCCAGGCCGGGGCTGCCGGGAAGCCCGGGGCCCGGCGCTCCCAGGTGGCGGCCCAGGCTCGGGCTCCCCGGGCTGCCTAGCGCGCTGCCGTGCACACCGGATGCCAGGCCGCCCGGGTGGGCGCCGGGGTGCCGGGCCAGGCTGGGGCTTCCCGGGGTGGTGGCCGCGCTGCTCTGCGGGCTGGAGACCGTGCTCCCGTGGAAACCAGTTCCCGCCGGGCCCATGGCCTGGCGGTGGCTCAAGCTGGGACTCCCGGGGGCAGCCACGCTGGGGTTGAAGGCCCGGCGGCCAAAGCCAGGACTCGGGGGGGTGTTGGTGCCCACTGTCCTGTGGCGGGCCTGAGGGCTCCCAGGCACCGGGTGGATGCCGGCCACGGTGAACTGGGCCCGCGCCTGACTTTCTGGGGAGCTGAACTGCTGCAGTGAGTAGTCGGGGCTGCCGTAGCTGCTGCCCACGGTCGGGAGAGGAGAAGAGCTCTGGTAGCTTCTCTGAGCCGAAGGGCTAGGCTGGCCCAGGCTGCCAGAGCGGAAGCCCGAATCCAGCAAAGGCTGGGTGGGTGTCCGGGGGCCCTGGTCGCTGCTTTCCCCGGATGGGAAACTGCCCACTGAAGTGCTGGAAAGAGAGGAGGCAGGTTGAGATGTCAGGATGAAGGACAGAGTCTGGGGGGGAGGGGCGGGTACTCAGCCCTCCCTCCCACCACTAGTACCAACAGGAAGAGCTCCCCTGGCAGGTGCTGGGAGGCCATGACGTTTGCACACCACCCTGTGGAACCCGCCGAAGAAGAGACAGAGGCTCAGAGAGGTAAAGCACTGAGCTCACGACCACACAGGAAAAGGCCAGGATCCCAACCCAACTGCATCTGATTTCAAAGCCCCCGGTTTCCCCACTGCCCCTTGTCGACTCCGAAACCACAAGTCCAAGCAAGGGGATCTCCCCTATGGAAACTGAAGGTGGCTGTCCTTGTGTCACCTCCAGCATCACAGAAACTGGACACCAGGGAGGGGTCAAACCACCTGGCTCCTGTTCCTACTGGGAGTATCCCCGCCTTGATTCACTTTTCCCAGAATGCTATTATCATCTTTGAACACCACAGAGTGCTGGAACTGGGCTTTCATTCCTGGATAGCTCCAAAAGGCAAAGACAACAAATCTCATAGAAGGAGATTTCAGCTAATTGTAGGGTCTGCTTTCCGGCGTTGGATCTGGGCACTAACTTAACAAGCTGCCTTGCATAGTAATGAGACTCCCGTCATTAGGAGGGTATAAGCAGAAGCGGACCCACTTCTTGACCTGAATGTCGTGGGGTGGGGGGATTTCCTCCATTGGGAGGTTAGATTAGATGAGCTCTGAGGTCGTTCCCAATTCTAAGGCTCAGATAAAAATTCAGTTCAGAGGGGACCGTCTCTGGGGGAATAGCCACAACCGCAGACTCTTCTCTGAAGTTACGGGGAAGTCTGTACGGCCGCGCAACGCAACAGCCTGTCAGCTGGAAAACCTAGATTCTGGAAACCCATGAAACTCTTCTCATGTGGCAAATGAGGTGGGGCTGGGTTAGATAATCCTGATTCCTTCCAGGCGCAGACTCCTATCCGTGGATGACATGGTAGGAGAGACACAGGTGGACAGGGACCCCGCATAAGCTGTGGCTATAGGGAGGTAGCAGGTAGGCTCTGCACCAGGAGCCCCTGGGCAGGGGGCAGGGGACGGGGGTAGATGGGGTGGGGTGCAGTCCTTACACAAGACAATGGGCCAAAGCCTGGAGCTACAGACTGGGAGGAGTGTCGAGGCCAGGTTGGATAGGCTCGAGTGCCGGGGCGACGTGAGGTGGGGGGCCAGGCGAGAGCCAAGGGCAGGAAGCAGGTCACGGGCCAGGCCAAGAAAAAGTCTACCTCGAATCCCAGAAGGAGCTAGAGTGGAATGCCATTCCGGGTATGGAATAACACGGGCTCTGAGGAGTGGGAGGACGTGTCAGGCTGAGCAGGGCGGGGTAGGGGACACTGACATGCAGTTCTGGAAGATTAATCCCATCGGAGAAACACTAGCTTCCTGAGCCCTGCAAAGAGCCAATTCTACAGCAGGAGGAATTTGAGTGAGAAACAGTGAAAACTTCCCAAGGTCAGGGCTCCCTGAACGTGAGCAGCGGTGGCTGGCCAGGTTAGGAAAATCCCCTCGCCGTTAAAGGAAGATTACACTTTCAGCCCAGAAGCAGACTTCCTGAACCCAAAAGCAGACCCAGAAGCAGACCTCCAAACCCGTCTGCCCTGTCAAGGGGCTGGAGAGGGGGCTGCATGCATGCTTGAGGTTCTAGAATGCTTAGAACGCAGAAGAACACAGCCTCTGCCCCCCCACCGTGCTGCCCCCCACCCCCGACCTGGGAGGGGCACACAGCCAACTCCACCACCGGGCCTGGCCTGTGACAATACTACGGGAGGTGGCTGGACTGTTTCTGGGCCCCAAGCAAAGCCAGACCAGGAAAGGGGGTGGATATGCAAAGGGATGCCCAGCAGCAGTCTTCCTTCTGGGAGGAGAGCTCTGGTCGGGGCAGGCTAGCCACGTCCGTCCCCCATGCCTGGCACCCTTTGCCTTGCCTGGGCCGATCTCAAGCTCCCTCTCCTGTGTCGCGTCACGTTCTCCGTCACAAACCCTATGGCCCAGTCCCCCACTGCATCCCCTCTTCAGAGCCCTCCCCTGCCTGGTTCCAGGCTCTCCCCTCCATCTGACCCACTCAGAACGCCAGTCGCCCATCCACCACCAGGTCTACACCCCACCCAGGCTGTGCTGCCCTTCTAGAATGCCCATTCCCTCCTCCTCCATCTTTCAACAACTGCTCATCCTTCTGGCCTCACCACAAATACCTCCGGCCCCCCTCTCTGCATCCCTAGACAGAAACAATGGCCCCCTGCTGGGAGCTCCAAGCTCTGGGCACATCTGACTGTCATCCTGGGACAGAGAGGGCACCGAAACACAGGTCCAGGGGAGAGGAGAGACGCGGGCTCTAGAACCAGACGCCTTGGGTCTGAATCCTGTTTCTGCTGCTGTCTAGCTGCAGGGCCTTGAGCAAGCCACTTGGCCTCCCTGTGCCTCAGTTTCCTCTTCTGAAAAGCGGGATCCTAAGAGTACTTACCTCTCAGGATTAACTAAAATCACCATATGCAGCATTTAGCGAAGTGCCTGGCTCACCAGAAGCACTCACCACACAGCGATCGCAGTTGGTAGATTTTGAATGTGGGGGAAGGCCTGGTCCACCACGGTGGCCCCAATTCCTTCCAGCACAGTTCTGGACGGAAGAACCGAATCCAGCCTGGGATTCTAGCTCCCCCACCCTCACACTCCCCAGGGGCTCTGGCACCCGGATACTCTCTCAATGCGCCCCAGTGGGCTGGCTGCCAAGGTACAGCGGTCTGGATGTGATTTCAGCCCGGCCGTGCTCTAGGCAGATCCAGGCCTGGATCCACCCCCTCCCCCCACTTACCTGTCAGCGCTGAGGATGGGGCTGCTGGTGGAGAGGGGACTGGGGGAGACAAAGGAGCCTCCCAGGGTCCCGTTCCTCAGGGGCGTGTCGTGGCCATAGGCCTGGGCAGCTGGAGCACTAAAGCTCTTGGGTTCAGGGTCTTGAGCTCGGGGCCCCGCCACGGCCGTCCGCACCACCGACTCCACATAGCTCCGGGGTTCTGGAAGGGGGCAGAAGAGAGACTGAGATCTATGGGGCTGCAGCCTAGACCCCTCCCAACCTGTCAGGGAATTCCCCAGCCTGTGAGGACGATTCCAGAAAGACAGCCAAGCATGCAAAGGGCACTTCTGGTGCTTCAGCCTGCCCATGCCTACCGCTCTTCCCAGTTGTCTTGGAGAAGCTGTGAGAGCCCCCACGGAACCTTTAACCGGGGCCTCACTCGCAGAAGCTTCCCAGAAACAGACCCCAGCTTTGCCTCCAAACAGAGCCATCCGACACTCCTCCCTCCTGTCACAGCTAGGACACCCGTCTATAGCTGGCAGCCCCTTGAGCTCCTTCTTCCCTCCTAGGTCCCGCTGGCATGGCTGGAGTCTGCTCTACAGCGGGCCCAGGGCTCCGGCCCAGCCTTGCCCACGTTCAGGATGGTGCCAGGGTTCAAGGGGCTCCACCCACGCCCAGAATCCAGAAACAGGCTTGCTGGCCTAGCAACGGGCCTGTGCCGGCCAGTCCCGCCCAGCCTCTTCCACGCCAAGACCCTCCCACCCACCTTGCCTGACACACTTAGCATTCCTCCCGAGATGACATCATTATCCCTGCCTGGTGTTTAGAAGAGCTTAAGAATCAGGGCAGGTGGGGGAACAAGTGCCAGGAAGGCCATTCTACAGGTGAGGACGCTGAGGCCTGGGGAGTGCACGACCAGGAGGAGATCTGACGCCCAGCCAGCGTTCGTCTGACCCTCCTCCCAGACCTCTGAGGCCAGGCCTGAAACACACTCGGTGCTACACAGGGAGAAGAAGCAGGCCACTCTTGGCTTCTCCAGGGCCGTGATCGGGGACAGATGACATTCCTACCACCTCCAAACCTGGCACCGACCTGTCTCCCCCAAGTGGGACGTGATCAGAGCACAGCTCACATGCTGACCACAATCACGGCATCTGCTGAAACCAGCCTCAGAGTGAAGAAGCGGAGAGTACGTGGTGCCCTGGGCAGGCCAGGCCCCTGGAGCTTTTGCTGGCCAGGACTGTGTGACAGTGCGTGGGGGTGGGGCAGGGTGTCTGCCAAGGGACGAGCATGAGGGGGTCTCGTCCGGGTCCCGGGCACAGGGTGAGGGAGAACCAGCCGCCTCGGTGCCCGAAGCCGGAGTCCATATAGGCAGAGGGTCAGCCTCACAAGAGGTCTCCTCAAAAGCCCCCTCACCCAGCTGGGGGCCACCCACCCACCTCCCAGAAGCCTCAGGCCGCTTTCACTGCAAAGGCACCGAATCTGTGCCGCATCTGTGCCGACTGTGCTCGAGGGCCTGCTGGAGCCAGGAAATGCTACGGGGATCCTCTGGCCCAGGACAGGCGCGCATTTTGTGAAAGACTCGTTAGTTCCACGCCGCTTCGTCGATGGTCTCTGTGGCAGCTGGTCGCTTCTGCTTTTGTGCCACACAAGCGGTCACACAGAATTCGTAAACAAAATACTGTGGCTGTGTTGCAATAAAATGTTCCCTACAAAAACAGGCAGCGGGCCAGACTGGGTGATCTCACCTGTCTCCTCAGCCCAGAGAGGTAGAGGGATTTGCCCCAGAACACACAGCCAATCAACGGCCAGAGATACCAGCGCCAGGGTCTCCTGACTCTCAAGGCTGGCTCCTGGTGGCCTAGAGAAGGGCCACAGCCTCGCGGCGACGCTGAGAGCTGGCTGCTACCCAGCACTCCAGCATGTCAGCCAGAACCATTAGTAATGATAAAAATAGCAAACAATTATATGAGGAAAGTAGGAGAACGTAAGTAATCGGAGAATGCAAGTACCTTGCCCCCTCACACAGGACCAAGGGGCAGAGCTGGCCTAGGAATGCAGGCAGTCTGGCCCAGAGCCCGCCCTCTCGCCCACGGCGCACACACCAGCCAGCGAAAACTCAGGGCGCCTGTAGTTTCACGTGTCTTCAGTCTCAGGGGGATAGCTGTGTCCTTGCTATGCAATCAGGAGCCCACAGAAACGGCGATGGAGACGCAAAGCCAGTCAACCCCCCCCCCCCATTCTGAGTCACTGTCCGAAAACTCCTCCCGTACCCTTCTAGGATCTCGGTTTCACCTGCCTGCGTGCCTGCAACACTCAGCAGCCCCTCTCCCACCGAGAGACAACAAGGGGATCCACCTGCTTCTTGGCCACCCCAGGCTCTTTGTGGATCCACATTCACAGGGCCCCACACACCCCCTGGGATGCAGTGAGGCCCCTGATATGCATCTATCCTACCAGCTTGTAGGTGCATGACCTTCACCCTCCAGCCCACCCACACAGACACGCGTAAGAACTGGGACCTTAGAGACGCACATTCATGTTTCTCATTCCCTGGAATCCTTGCTGAGCCCAGAATTTCCAGCTGAAACCCCCATAGATGATCCCCGACGTCTGTGCTCTTGTACCTGTCGATGCCCTCCTGGTCCACTGTCCAGCCTGCTCCTCAGCCCCGGAGGCCAGCACTGACTGCATCCCCCAGACCCTCTGGTTCTAGGGCTCTGGAAGGCTTTGGCGTCGGCCAGTGGGGGGGACCGCCAGGAGATGGGAGTGAGGAGAGAGGTCAAGGTGCCAGTGGCTGCCTCCTTCTACCCAAGCCCACAGCTGCGGTCACAGGTCCTCTCTTCCAGCTCTCTGCTCTTCCTTCAGGTCTGATCTCTCGTCCTGCTAGGGATCACCAGAGGGGCGCTTCACCACCCATCACTGGTTTACTCAGACCTTTTAAACAGCCCATGAAACTCTTCTCCGTTGCCCCACAGAATGAGCCATCTGTTTCCTACCAGGACCCAGGTCCCTCCACTGAGTAAGCAACTCACATTACCCTACCGCACCCCCTAAGAAAACGTACATGTACCCCTTCTACCAGCAGCAAAATGGAGATAAAGCAGGCCTCACCACCCTGTCACCTAGTCAGGACACAGCCGAGCCTGGGACCCGTGGATGCTGACTCCCATCTGGCCTGCCTGCCATTAGGTAAGGCTGTGTCCCCACTCACTGCCCCTGGCCTGAACGTGACAGCCTGAGCTCCAGGCCAGACGCCAGCACATCGTTTGCACAGGGTGACGATGGGACAGCCTATGAGAAATTCTGGGATGTCAGAAAGCCTGGGGTGGTTACAGGATGGTTACGCTTGCAAGGCATCAGTTTCCTCGGCCCCTTCCCCACTCCCATCGAATCCTGAGCCACAGGAAGCCAGAGGAAGACTCTGTGAACTTGGGGGACAGGACTCCTTCCCCAGGGAGAAGCAGTAGCTGCCACATGGTAGGGAAGAGTCCTTGGACTTAGAGGCCAACCAACCTCACGCTTTGCTCCTGGCCTAGCAGGATTTCAGTGACCCAGTCCACCTGGCCCTTCCCTCACCTGCCCACCGCCTTTCCCCAATCCTGCGAGAGGTATGACCACCCTCATCTTTGTTTGGCTAGACTGCGGCCATCTGTCGCCCCTTCCTAGCCTGCCTGGCCCACCCGGGGGTGGAGATGGGCTAAGCCCTCTGTCTCCATCTCTGTTCCTCCTGAACCTGGAGCAGGAGAGACCTTTGGGAAGTTACTTCATTTGAGTCCATCTCCAGAACTGTTCAAAACCAACCTCTTAGGCCCAAAACTCAGTTTTCCCAAGTTTTCCGACCCAGTTGCCATATTGAAAACACCTCCTTTTTCTGTCTATTCTTCAGCTTTTTCTCTCTTCCCAGCCACAGGACAACATATGACTCCTGGGATCCCCCATTTCTTTCAATTCCTGGAGGGGTGACCTGGGAAAGGCTGCTCAAACTTTCTGGGACTCAGTTTCCTCATCTGTAAAAGGGGAATGAGAATACTCACCTGCCCGGCTGAGATCAAGTGAGAAAGATGGGGCAGTTCCCTCTAATCCCTTCCTGCTCATTTCCACAGCAGCGTTTACAAGCAGCCCCACGGGTGTCGGCCTATGCCCCGGCCACACCTGCTCCTGTCTCCCTCCACCCTTCTCTCTGACCCTCTCCTGCTCCTTTCCTCCTCCTGTCCAGTCCTGGAGCAGCTGCACCCAAAGGACTTGTGAAGAGCAGGAGAGGTGGGGCCGGGGAGGGTGCTTCATGTGGAACATTCCAGAGCTCAAACCTATTCTCAGTGGCTGTTGGCGGCTGAGAGCAGCTGGCAGCACAATAGTGACTTGGCCCCACCAGGCCCAGGGCACTAACGGCTCTTCACCCACACCCTGAATTGCCTGTCCTGCCCCTAGGAAAGGCTCTTTGCTTGGAGAGAAGGGGCCTGCTCACCCCAAGCAAAATGAAGACATGTGCGTGGGGAGAGGCAGGAAGTAGAGAAACGCCCGAGTTCCCATCCAGGCGCTCCGAAGTTGGAATTTCAAGCCTTTGAGGTTGGGCCATACACAGGCGTTCTGAACTCCCGTGACACCCTCTTCCAACCCCCGCTCAGTGCTTCTTCCCGATGCTCGATCGTCTGTTGGCGCCTCTGCCCTCACCAGGATATCTCACCTTATACCCTCAGTGGGTAGACCCTCGGTGCCTAGCACAGGAGCCGGCATACAATGGGTGCTCAATAAATCTGCATTGCAAGGCACTGCCCCCCCCTCCCAAGAATCCCAGATGCCACAAGACACCCACCACCACGGATCTCAGAGCAGGAACAATTCCCCAGAGGGGCCATTTCTAGTCCAGAGTCTTCCTTTGGGCCAAATCTGTCCCGCCTCGCCACCCGGACAAACAGAAGCTAACCCGCATGTTCCCCGTCCCCACTCCTCTGCGAAGGGACCTTCTACAATTATTTCCCTGTTTCACCACTGGGAAAATAGTCTTGACGTTGACCTCACGCCTTAACTGCTGCAGGCCTCCTTGCTCGCCTGCCTTCATGGAGAAGAGAGCCCCGTCCCCAGCCCCACTGTTGAGAGGTCATGCCCGGTGCGGGGCAGCCTCCGCGGCTCTGGCGTTGGCTCTCAGCCATGCCCGCGGCTGACTGCGCAGACCTAGACCAGCCATTTAACCACCCTAAACGTCATCTCCCCATTGGTAGAATGGGGTTCCTACCGCCTTCCTCTCGGTGATTGTTAAACAAGATGTGGTGACCATGGCCCCACGTGGCCCACTCCTGCCTGTCGAACCTTATCTGGACCACACTCCCCCACTTGCTCCAACTGCTAGCTTCCTCTTGCTCTGAGCCTCACCGATTTTGCAGTTCCTAGAAAAAAAAAACCATGCAGTTCCCTCTGACCCCTGGGCCTTTGTACATGCTTTCCCTCTACACGGAATGCTTTTCTCATCTCCTGGTTTCACCAAGTTCATGTCACTCACCCTCACGTCTTACCTCTTCAGCCAAGGTCAAGTTCTTGGCTATAATGTTTCATAAACTACACCCTTCCCCTTAGAGCACTATCTCAATACGTAATTCCAAGTAATTTAATTCCAGGTCCTGTTCATGCATATGCTCCGTGACATTAGGAATCGTAGTACTGCCTATCACCCTATTCCCGGAGCCCGGCGCGGTGCGTGGTATACACGGTAGGCACACGAGATGCTGAATGACTGAATCAGCGAAGGAGGGAATGAATGCATGTGTGACCAGGGCAGAGTCCCTTCAAGTCAGCTCTGCCCCTAGCTGGATAATTCTGCCTCTGATCATCTTTCCTCACAAGCATCTTTTCCTGCATTCCCCACCGAAGTGTCAGCAGGGAAATCAGCCAGGGCTTCAGAGGGGCAGCAGACAATGCGCTTCGGTCTGACCCGGGAGGTGGTACATGAGTCAGGAAAAATGGAGCTGGCTGCCCACAGCCCTGCTCCCCGTCCCTCTCCCGCCGCACTCCCTGGGCCACGACAGCAATTCTGACCCCCACGCTGGAATCCCCAGGCATGGGGCCTGGAGGCGTGAAATAGCCCTAGGACGAGCAGACGGGAGACCTGGAAGTCCAGTCTGGGCCCTCTGCCTCCTAACTGTGGTCCTGGGCAGGTGCTCCCGACCGTCACCCCCACAGCTCAGGCCTCAGTGCCCCCACATCCGTGAAAATGATGGGTGCAGCAGAGCTGATCCACGAGAACCTTCCCCTCCAAACTGTGGCTCCAAGACACACGGAAGAGGGCCAGAGGCCGTGAGGCCTGGAAGGCTGAGAGTCATTCGTGAGGCAAAACGGGCAGGTCTTATATTCCCCTTCACTATTATTCATATTCCCCAAATGAATGAGAACATACACTGTTTGTCCTTCTCCGATTGACTTACTTCACTCAGCATATGTGGGAGATATCAGAAAGGGAGACAGAACATAAAGACTTCTAACTCTGGGAAATGAACTAGGGGTGGTGGAAGGGGAGGAGGGCGGGGGGTGGGGGTGAATGGGTGACGGGCACGGAGGGGGACACTTGACGGGATGAGCACTGGGTGTTATTCTGTATGTTGGTAAATTGAACACCAATAAAAATTAATTTATTTAAAAAAAAAAAGAACTTGGTATCAGAAAAAAAAAAAAACGGGCAGGTCTCAGCTCAGCTCTGTTGATACTCGCTTCCCTGAAGTGTCACCCCAAAGTGTGGGAAACACGACATCCGGGGCCTGTCAGGCTGTGGGATAATCCGCCCCTCAGACCGTCCCACTGGAGAGTGTTTGGGGGTGGGCTCCGGGCACCAGCGTTTCTGGACTCCTATCCCACGGTCACTGCCCTGTCAGGAGCCAGCAGCCAGCCTGGGGGAAAGTCCTCTCCCAGGGTAGGAGGCTTGCAGGGAGGGGCAGCCAGGAGCCCGCTGGGGCTCATCCCACCCTGAGAGCTGTTGCTGGGGGCCACCTCCTGCTGCAACCCCCAGCAGCCTGGCGCAGCTGCCCAACCCTGGCTGGCTCCAAGTGAGCAAAGCCTCCGTGCCCTCTCTGGGGGTGGAAAACCAAGGTGGTGAGTGGGAAACGGGCTTAAGAAACGCAGACAGAGGGGCGTCTGGTGGCTCAGTGGGTTGAGCATCCGACTCTTGGTTTCAGCTCAGGTCATGAACTCACGGGTTGTGGGATAAAGCCCTGCATTGGGCTCCATGCTCAGCAGGGAGTCTGCTTGAGATTTTCTCCCTCTGCCCCTCCCCTACTTGTGCCCCCCCTCAAATAAATAAACAAATAAATCTAAAAAGAAAAAGAGAAAGCAGATAAAGCCTTTAAAGAAACCAGGCCGCATGGAACCAGGGCCCAGGTGGGAAGTCAGAACATCTAACGTGTCAGAGCTGGAAGGGACCTCAGTGCCCCCCTCATCCAAGGCCCCCCGATGCCCACAGTCACACACAGACAACCGAGGCCGGCACCCCCTTCATTTCACCTGATGCTCTGAGACATCATTTGAATTCTGTCCCTAATAGGTTAAAGGCCTCCAATCAGATTATGTCCCCTCTCTATTTTCCTCCTCTGCTTACGTCCCCCTTCCTCACATCCTCCGCTCTGCTTCATGTACAAAGCAGAGTTCATCTAAATCGAGGGTTAAGCAGAGGCATGGACGTGGGGACTCCTTGAAACTGTCAGAACCATGTGCATGGGTGTCCCGATGTGGGAGTGGGTCCGTGGCTGTTCTGCAATCCCCAGAGGCATCCAAGAGCCCAGAAAGACAGACTTCCTACCATCTGTGTTGATACGAAACCAAGCAAGGTGGCAGGAGGGAGGGATCATCACCAGGGTGGGTCCGCACTGGCAGTTGGAGCTGGCTACACCTGAACCCCTGCCCACCGCCCCCCCACCGTCAGAACTCAGGCAGCATCCAAGATGACAGCTCATCACCAGGGGGTGGGCACCAGAAGGCTCTAGGCCTGGTCATCTGAGACCTGTCAGAAGAGAGAGCTGCCCCCGAGCCAGCCTGAGCAAGCTCCTCGTCCACAGCCATCCCCAGGCCCAGAGAGCAGGAAGCGGCCACGCAAGCAAAGCCACACTCACCTTTGGGAAGCTCTGTCACCACCTTCCCCTCATCCTCCTCTGAGGGAAGACGAGAGGAGAGGCAGGAGGAAGGAGAGGCAGGTGAGGAGGAAGAGAGGAAAAGAGGAAAGGAGAGAGACAGAGAGATCAATTAACAGGGGTCCTTTCCTGAAAAGCAATCTGCTGAGAAGGAGGAGGTGGGAAAGCAGGAGCGAGGCCAGAGCAGAAGAGCCCAGGGAGGAGGTAAGGTCCACCGCACACGACCCTGGGGGCTCAGGATGCGCAGGTTAAGGTGGGCCTCGCTGTCAGGGACGAGGCTGTCCCCCTCACAGACCCCGCACCCAGGGCCTGCATCTCAAGCAGCAATGTGCTGGCTGGTGAGAGGCAGCCCCGATCCCCTTCTGCTCCCTGGTGACTCGGTGTCCCTGGCCATGCAGGCACCCCTGAGTGGGAGGCTGTGCCGGCCGTGTGTCTGTGTGGGTCACACAAGCGTGTCATTGCCCTCCTACCTGGCTGGATCAGTCTTCTGGTGACTAAGGAGAAAAAGCAAAGTTGGCCTCAAGAGTCCCAGTCCAGCCCTAAAACCAGAGTCTAAGGGGACAACCTTCAGGGTGGTTCAAACTTGTTCAAAATGGACACGCAGGGACTAGGGCCCTCCACTCTCCCCTTCCCCACAGGGAGGACAGGAGCTGGAGGATGTGATAAGGAAGTGGGAGGTGTGAACTAGGGTGGGGGGAGGGTTGTGTACATCTGTGTGTGTGCATGTACACAAGTGCCTGAACGCTGGGATGGTGGAGCCAGCCTTCTGGCAGAGAGCTGACCAGCTCCCAGGAGACTGAGGCCAAGCCCCCAAATCCCCAAGTCAGAGGACCCTGGGAGTGGCACAGACCTCACACGTCAATGGGCATGAAGACTGCAGAGGGACTTATCCCCCTCAACCTCTGCACAGAGAGCCCCGACACAGGCCTGACCTCACTGTGGGCACAAAGCCAGTCTGTCATCTTGTTTCCAGAAGGGTCCTGAGAAGCCATCACCTCTGGGCATTTTCTGATTCAATCCTGAGGCCCTGCCCAGGACCACAGGGGTCCTCCAACCCCTACTCCTCCCTCTGGCCTCCCCCTCCCACCTCCCTTCCAGCTAGAGTCACTCACCACCTGTAGGGTGCAACAGGATGTCCGCTGGGTTGTGGGGTTTCAGGCCTAGAGCAGACAGGGGTGTCTTGGCCAGACCCGGAGGGGAGCGCACTGTGCCAGGAAGCAGAAAGGAGACACAGGGGTGAGCCTTGGGGTGAGGGGGGTATGGGGAGAGGAAAGGGGGCAGGAGCGGGGGCACCCCTACATGAGGACGTGTTGGTGAGGGGTGGGCAGCAGGCGCAGGGCAGAGGAGCCAGCCGTAGCCCCCAGGGGTTACTGCCTTGCTCCCACGGCCCTTTCCCATCTCCGTGCTTCTCCACAGCACAAAGGGCAGAGTGAAACAGTCAGGAAATGGCACTGCCCCTCAACGGGCCCTGGCCCTGGCCCTGGCCCTCAACCTCCAGCAAATAACTTTTATGCGGGGGCCCTTAGTTGTGACACTGCGGTCGCCTGGCATCGCCAAGGCTGACAACGTACACGCAGGTTTCTCTGACTCTCTGACTTCCTCCATACTCTATCCTCTCTTCCCTCACCCTCTCGCTCCCCCCGACATACACACACACACACACACACACACACACAGTCTTCCCACGCCGTGCACCTTGATGGACTCAGAGAACAAAAGGAAATGGGAAATCAAGACGGCGGACCCTGTAAAGGACAGAGGGAGGAGGGTCATGGGCACAGCCGTGCCAACCCTGAGACCCCGGGGCAGCCCTTGGCCAAAGGTCTTTGACTCCCAGCCACCCAAGCCACTTGTAAAGCCCAGGAAGAGAGAATTTCTCAGTGTGGGGCTCTCTGTACCCCCCAAATCTGGGCGTCCTGGGAGAGGGAGAAGCTCCACAACCCTTGGCCAAGAGCACCGATTCCCTGCGCAAACCCCAGGGCCCTTCCAGGCTGCCGGGCAGGGTGAGAAGTGTCACGTAACACACAAGGTCAGGGAGGGCCGTCAGGCTCTTTCCCGTCAGCCAAGGACGTGGCCAGACTCCGAGCTGAACTGCAGGGCGGTTGTTAGGCCCAGTCACGAGATTTCTCGGTGGCAGCTGCTGCGTCTCCTGACACACCTCTGAGAAGAAGCAAAGAACTGAGCTCTGTGTCCCCTGTCACAGCTAATCGGGAGCGTGCAGAGGCCACGGGCCCTGAGGACAGGCTGCCGCACAGGTCACTCAGAGCCCCAGCCTGCCTGCCACACGCCAATGGCCTCAACAGCCTGGCTGTAGCCCTCGGATGCCCAGCAGCGCACAGCGGCTCCAGGGCCCTCCCCGGCCCTCCTCCTTTCCTAAAAGACAGGGAGACCTACAGGAAACAAAAGGCTACAAGCTACAGTCCCTCGGTGCAAGCAACACACATAACTTATCTGTGCACACGTGGGTGTGTGCATAGGGCCACACAGGAGCAGTGAGCGGTGACGGGGGTCCGGGCGGGCGCAGACTCCACCCTCACACCGTCCTTAGATGCCCAGCGGACAAATACAGCAGAGGAGACAAATGTGCACAAAAGCACACCTCCGGGTAAAGGGGATAGGTCTAGACTCACATGTCTCCATCCCTCCCTCTCCTTACACACACGTACACGCACAGATTCGGTTTCTACCACCCTCCAGCTACTGAAAATGGTGCCTTGCAACAGGCCCTTATGGAGCACTTATTAATGTTTGTCAAGTGAATGAATTTGAATGTACTTAGTTAGGGAGGAATGAGCCCAGCCTAGAGGCCACTGTCCACGGAATGACCGCGAAGCATGTGTTGGCCCAGCTGGCACAGGAGACACACAGGTCGACCACGGAGACCAGGTGAAGAGGACCAGAGGCGGTGGGAGGGCTCTCCTGCTTCCACCCCAAGCACCTCCAGCTCCCTGGTGGCTCATGCTCCGGTCCCCAAGCAACTGGCTCTCCTGCTGAGGCCCTGAGTGGGTGGCCCTGAAGCCAGGCAAGGCTTTTGCTTCCCAAGAGAGGAATTCCTCGAATTTCTCCGCCTCTGTCCTCTCTCCCAAGCCTGTGCATTGATGAAACCTCTGACTTCTTCTCCCGGAGGCTGGGGCAGCAGGGCTGGCCAGGGCAGGCCGAGAAGAATGGGAACAGACACAGATGGCAAAACCTCACCCTCGCTCGGCCCAGATGGCTTCCATCCCAAACAGGGTGATGGCCAAGATCCTGGCTGACTGGACCAACGGCAAATCAGAGCCAGGCGTGAAGGGGGAGGGCGAAGACCACCCTCAGGAGGGACAGCAACTGATTCCACGGAGTCACAAGAGGCCACAGAGATGCCTCTTCAGTGGACCACCCTGGCTTGCACTGGTCCAATATGGTAGCTAGGAGGCTCATGGGGCTACGGTGCCGGCTGTGTAGCCGACCAGAACCGAGACACGCTCTCGGTGTAAAACGTACACCGGATTTCAAACACTTGCTATGAAACAAGAAGGCAACGTATCTCCTTAGATTGATTCCACGTTGAAATTATGATATTATAGATCTTGGGGATTAAGTCAAACCTATTAATTAAAAATAATTTCACTGGACTTTTTACAGGTTAAAAAAAAAAGATGGTAAGGCATGTCCTTAATATTTTTATCTTGATCTACCTATTGAAATCAATAATATTTTAGACATTTGGGGTTAAATAAAAAAATATTAAATCTACTTCTCTAGTTTTCTAATACGTATTTCAGCGTAGCCACTAGAAAACGTTACATCACAAACATGGCTTGTGCTCTATTTCCTTTGGACCATGCTGCTCCGGGGAGAAGAGCCACGGCTCCCACTCACAACTCCAGCCTCCTGCAGGCCCCAGAAGGCAGCCCACACAAGTTCTGCTGGCACAGGGGTGCCACACTCTTCCCTCCTCAGGACAGCCAGCCCCCAGAACATTACCGCCAGTTCTGCTCTTCCGTGCTCACCCTCCTCCCCTCCGTCATCTCTCCCTCCTCTGCTGCCGGGAGGGAGGCCTGTCACAGGGGCTCTGAGTCCTCAGTATTCTCCCATCACTGCTGTCCCACAGCTGCCCCCTACCAGCTCCCCCTGTCTCTTCTATGCTGTACTCATCCGGGTCTTCTCTATGGGTGGAAATGCCTCTGCCGTTTGGGGATTTGCCTCTCCAGTGAGTGCATCAGGGACTAAATGTTCCTGCCCGTAGGCCAAGAATGGATGAGATGGGGACTCTGACAAGACTGAGTGTTCTAGGCCTTTCTTTCCCTGATGGCAACTAAGTAGGTTGCCTGAAACAGAAGAGGTGCCTAGATGTAGACAGGATTGAGGGTCAGGAGCAAAAAGGTCAAGAGGCATCTCAGAGATATGCCACCAAGTCACAAGAGTCACTTTAGGATGGAGGGGGTGTATTTTGCACACAGGATGCCAACACTCTCAAAGCTTAGGAAAATTCTAGACTTTGGGAGGCCAGGGACCCCACAGAAGGTCAGCAGGATCCGAGCCTGTGGCTGCTGCCCCCTTACATGTGTGCACGGGGACAACGGAAGGAAGAGAAGCAGGGCAGGGATGGTGAAGTGCGATGCGCCATCCAGTGGGGGGAAGGACAGATCCTGGCCCCGCCCTGCCCCACCAGCATCTGCCTGCAAACCTGGGGCGCTTACTCAGGCCGGGGCTGAGAGAGGGGCTTGAGGGGACCCAGGGAAGACAGGGTAGTGAGCAGCTCTTACCCCCGCTGGGCGGTGGGCTGGTCGGGGAGGTTCCCTCCATCTCCTCAAAGGCCTCCTTGTAGCTGTGCAGATGGGGCTGCAGGACAAGAACAGGGGAGTAGAGGGGGATGCCCACTGCTGGCCGTGACCCTGAAGAGCAGCGGTTTCCCAGGTAACCAGCCCACCCACCCCTCCTCGGTAAACACAAAGGTCAAAGGGACATCCCAGCCATTCACAGCCCCACCCACTCCTTTGTCACTGACGGAATGAAAAAAGGCTCTTTGCAAAGCCAGGGTCCCCCACGGTCCCTGCGGGTGGAAATCAGGAATGCTTGCCTCGGAAATTTCCCCAACAGGGCCAAAGAGAAGGGGCTGGGGACAGGGGACTCGGATCCTGCCAGAAGGCAGGAGAGAAAAGATGTCCAAAAGCCATTTATACCCAGAATAACACACTAGCCTGGATTTTATCAGACATGGGCCACTCCGATCAGAATCTTCCAGGACGTACGTTTAAAATGCATATTTCTGGGCGCTGTCCCAGATCTAATATGCGGGAATCTCTGGAGGTGGACTTGGGAATCTATGTATTTGACAAACTCCCCAGTGGTTGGTATGCTCCTTGAAGTCTAAAATTCACTGCCTCCAACTACTGAAATGTCCCAGAAATGCAAACCTTCTGGCATTGGAATCAGATCTCCCAAGAAAACCCTATACCTAGAAGGAATACAAAACTACTCTCGTCAGTCTGTATGATCAAGTTTGGAGGGTAAAGACGGTGGTCATCTGTGTCATACCCGGGACCCTTACCACCCTACTACACAGTGCTCTTTAGGAATCCAGGAGGGAACTCCAATCTCAGTGTTAATCTGAGAAGTGGGAGCATAAAAACTACTTAGGGACGGAAATGCCAGATTCCACACCCCAGAGAAGAGACACAGGGGGAGGACTGCGTTTGCTGAAGGGGCAGTGCCACTCAGGTGACTATCTGGCTCCTGGATAGCTCAGATGGGCCCCACCCCTCTCTCTGGCCACAGGATGCTGCCCAGGGACTCACCTCTTTGGGCCGCCCTCCAGGATTGAGGGCGATGGTGAGAGCCAGCTCGGGGGACACGCACTGAACAGGAGAACGAACCCCGGGCTACGGGGAGACGCGGGTTCTGGAGACTGGTTCTCGTACTGTCCATCGCTGGCTGCCCGCCTCCGCAGAGGGGCTGGGGGCTCTGCAGGCTGCTTCTCCCGAGCCTGCACCCCTGGGAGGAAGGCAAGACAGCGAGGGCAGTGAGCATATCAGGCGAGAGAGGATTGGTCAGGCCCCATTTCCCCAGAGAAGGCAGGGCATGGTAGCCAGGGGCCGCGCTGGAGGGGGCCTGTCTCCCCACAGGACTCCCCACTGCCTCCCTCTGCCCACCCCCCACCCCTGGCTTTCTCTGCAGGGTGGGGGATCTGCTTAGGTGGGGCTGCCCTTTCCTAGGAAGCTCTGCCCTGCACAGGGTTGAGGCCCAAAGCGCAAAGGGGGTGATACAAGAAACAGATGTCAGCTCCTTGCAAACCCTGGAGGCAGAGGGCCAGAGCTTCCAGGCAAATGAGGGAAGGTGGAAAGAGGAGAGACAGTCTCCAAGGTGACCGCATCAACCAACAAGCAACATCAGGCCCGGGGGAAGAACTTTGGAAAGAGCAAATAATGCATCATCTTGCGAGTGGTGCTCTCGAGAAGAAACAAAGAAATGACAAAGTCTTGTGAAGTCCTCGCCCCCAGCTGGCCCCTAGGATACCGCTGGCCTTCTCTGGGGTTCCCCAGCCCTCGTCCCGGCACCCCCGAACCTCTTGCCAACTCCCCTTGTGCCGGCCCCTCGTCTACCCACCCCTTGCTTCACCCCGAAGATGGCCCGGCTCCCACCCTGCCCCTCCCAGCAGAGCAGCAGGCAGAGGGCCCGAAGTCATGTTCTCCATCTGCTTTTCTGTATTCCCTTCCATCCCACAGGCCTCGGCATGTTGTTAGCCTAGCCCTCCTTCCTTCCCACTGGCTTCCCACAGCTGGGCTGAGGCACGGAACCCATTGCCTCATGGAGCTGGCTCCGGAATCCTAGAAAACTCACTCCCTGGGTCCCAGAGGCCAAGACCCAGCCTGAGGACAGGCTTCCTGTCTTCCCGAGCCTGTGCGAGGACACTTTCAGCTCTGCCCAACCCGCACCCTGGAGGGGGGGCAGGTGAAGCCAGGGGAAGGGGGCTGGGACAGGGCCAAGGGCACGTGCGCGCCTGGCCGCCCCGGCCTCAGGCTGACGCGTCTGGGAACACCGCCCCGTGGCACACTGCACACAGATACACATGCACACGCGCACACCCCTGGCCCCTGGGCGTGCACCACGGGAGCCAAGCAGTAATCACCCTCATTCAGCCCGAGTCATCTGCCCTCCACGGTGGGGTCTGCGTGGCCCCGGCGCCCCGGCCCCCCAGCTCCAGCCTGGTGCGGCCACTAAGGCTGCCGGGAGAGCACACACTGGGAAGCCTCCCTACTTGTCACGAACAAGAGGCTGCCGAAGCCAAACTAGGGGCGGACACACAGTCACTCCGAGCCACACACTCATACTGTCGCGTAACTGGGGGCCCGGTCCAGACAGCAGTAGGACTGGCGTGGCAGTTACAAGGCAGAGGTTTGAGCCTCCACTTCGGGGTCTCTATCACTCAGAGGCAGCCCGTTCTCTTTCTCAACCAGGAAAAAAGAGCCCCGGATGGGGACAGTAAACCAGACCCACCAACGGCTTTACTTAAAGGCAAATAAACCCTCCCCTGAATGTGCCCCTTATTTTCCAAAGAGAAAAATGGGGGTCACATAGTCCTAATAAGGGTCTGTTATGACCATCAGCCCGGATTAAAGATGCAGGCAGGCTCTCACCGGGCTGAGCAGCACCTGGGACCCCGGGCTGCGGCCACCCCAGGCTCCCAGCCCTCAGAGAGCAGCCAGCTGTGCCTGCCCCGGGGCCCCCTGCTACACCCTGCACTGAGCCCCCTCCTCCCAGGCCTCCTGGGCCGCCCGCTCCAGAGCTGCCGCTCGTCTCATTCCTGGCAAAAACATCAGAAAGAAACAGACATAGCCATTGATTTTCTAATAATAATTGTGACAAAGGAGGCCCATTTGGGAAAGGCTCTTGGGGTTTGGAACTAAGTTCGGCCCCAAGGTTAAAAGAAACGCATTAGGGCTGGTTTCAGTTCCGGCTCACCCAGCCCGGCAGCCTGTTTCTGGCAGATCTCTGGGCCTTTGCAAGGAGTGGCCAACTTCCCTGCACGGGGATCTGATATCCACCCTTGAAAAGTGGGTCTGTGTTAATCAGAGGCCCTCAGTCTCCTAGGGGGACAGAGAAAATCCTCCCCGGTGTGTCCAGAAGCATCCTTCACGTTCAGGTGCTGCAGATGGTTGCAGCCGCCCAGAGAAGGGTCCAGAGTGCCAGAGTGGGGGGCTTCCCAGCTGTGGAGGATGCGAGATCCTGGCACAGTCAGACATCTGAGGATGATCACAGCTCCTCAAGTGCTGAGGCAGGGGGATGGACAGGACTATCTCCAAAGAGCTAGCCTCCGCAGAAGGGGGAAGACCCCACATTCCACTCCCATGGAGATGGCCTCTCCCCTACAGTGAGCCCCAAGGCACCAGTGGCCAGTCAGAGTCTCTCACATTCTTTGAACACAGTATCTCACTGTTGTCCCCTTTGGCAGGCCCAGATATGCCCCAGAGAGCTGGAGAGCCATGTCCCCTCGCTCTTGTCCTTCTCCATGGGAGGGGAGACAGGGCATGGCCAGGGGGAGGGAAGAGAGCCCCATTGTTCCCTGGCCAAGCTGGGACAGCTGGACACAAGCTAACAGCCAGTGTCAGAGAGAGAACACCCCTCCCTCATGTCCCAGAGACTGACCGACCATAACAACAGGCTTACTCCCTGCCACCCTCCTCCCCAGCGCCACCCTCAACCCCAGGACTTTCTCAGTCTCTTGGCCCTGTCCCCCGTCTCTGCCCGGGGCCTCTGCGTCCACGTGCTCCACTCCACTACAGGTGCACACGCACAGCACACACACACATGGACACACACACACACACACACACAGCCTTCACCCGGGGTGGCGGTGGGTCAGAGTCGCCCTCAGAGCCTCTACCCCAGCAGGAGACCCTGGGGCTGGAGGAAGCTGGTGAAGAAAGGTGGAAAGAACCGGCCCGAGGGGCTGAGATGTCTTCGTCCTAGCGCCAGAGCATGAGGAGTGCGATGACCTCATGGCGAGGACGTGGCCTTTAGGATCAAAACAGTCAGCAGCACTCGGTGTCCCTTGGAGGCTGCTTTGGGCCCTTCCACCACCTGGATGATGACAGTCACCTCAGCCCAGGGCCTCCACCCCGGCCACCAGACCTCAAAGAACAGGGTGCCAAGACAGCCCCATTCCTGGGGGTCCTCACTCCGGGGGGCACAGCTGGCTCCAAGCCCCGCCCCCCTGACGTGGACTGGACCTGAAGCAATGAATCCCCTTCATCTAACACACACACACACACACACACACACACACACTGCGCTTCTGGGGGCCACAGCCCTAACACACAACCATATACCCATTTCAGCAGAACACAGGGGCCCACCACCCGAGTCCCATGGACAAATGCCCCGGTGTCAGGCATCATCACGTGCCTCCCCGGACTGGCCGTGTCCACCCCCACGGACCCAGCTCTTCTTTCCAGCCTTCCGATTTCCAGAAGCCTGGATTCCTCAGCTCCAGGTGACGGGGCTGGGTGTCCGACGGCATGCTTGGGGCTCCGAAAGCCAGGGTATCCGGGAGGCCACCTGCTGGGCCAGGGCACCAGAAAGCCACACGGCGATCACACTAGCAGCCCCAGGGCAAGCCATGCCAGCTCCCCTCAGGACAGGCCCACCACCCCAGAACTGCCCCGAACCCCCAGGTCCAAGTGAACACTGCACTCCCCACCACTGGGTTGAGGAGAGGTGAAGGGAGAGAGGGGAGGTGGAGGACAGGGGGCATTCTGCTAGAGTCATCTCCCCACTTTCCATGACGGGGAAGAGGAGGGTCTGTGCAAGTACCAGATGCTGCCACAGTGGCCACCAGTCCCTATGACCCCCTAAGCCTCTTCCCAGAACTGCTCAAGGCCACGGCATGGGGCAAGCCTCAGCATGGCCTCCTCCCTAACCTGGGCCTCCGGGCTCAGAGGCACAGGGAAAACAGTGAGGTGAGTCTCCCCAGAGCTAACAGCCCGTGGGCCTGTATGTCCAAGAGACCCAGGGCAGATGTGAGGGGGCATCACCGTCAAATAGAGCAACGGGATCCTTGATGAAAGGTGCACCATACTGGGGCAGGTCAGGCCACCGTGCAAAACACATGTGGCAGTGCTATGATCTCTCCATGTTTCACGTCAGGAAATTGAGCTGAGTAATTAAGAAATTTGCCCAGAGTCACAGAGGTGGTCACAGGCAGAGCCAGGACCACACCCAGGGCTTCTGACTCTTGGCCGCGGGTCCCAGGATCAGAGATTGGGGATGAGGTCAGAGGGGATGCTGCGTCCCCACGGAGTACCGCACTCGAGAGTGGACAGAGCGGCAGGTGCTAGGGCGCCACTGTCTGTCATGAAGCCTGGTGGCCCATGCAAAGCACAGTCTGGCTCCTGCTGAGACCCTGGCCCAGCAGCCTGGGCGGTCTGGCGAGGGTGGCCGGAGAGCCGAGCTGTCCCCACCCTCACCGAGCACGCTCAGTGCAAAAGCCTGAGTGTACATGGGGAATCTGGAAGCTCATCTAGTCACCCCAGACCCTGTGTCCCCAGCAGGTAAGGCCAAAGCCAAAAGCATCAGGCCTGTGTCCATGCGGAAGTGGGAGCACTCGCTCATGCAGAAAGGAAGGGGAGAGGGTCTCGAGAGAGGGAGGAGGAAGTGGGCAGGGCAGGGAGGCAGTAAGGAAGGGAGGAGGGGGCAAAGAGAATGGGAAGAGATGGAAAGAGGAGAAAGAGGGGAGGAAGAGAGGGAAGGTGGACAGGAAATGAAAGAGGACAAGAGAGGGCAGAGGTTTGAAGGAGTGGCCCATGAGAGAGGGGGAAGAGAGGCTGAGAGCCACAATGAGGGCCAGAGACTTATAAGGGGGAAGGGGGTAGAGGGAAGGGGTGGAGGGGCGGAAGGGTGGAGGGGTGGAGGGGAACCAACCGGAGAGGGAAGAAGATGGGAGCCGGTGGAGAGGAGGCAGCCGGGAGCCGGGGTGCCCGAGGCCCTGCAGCTTG